CTCTGAAGAAGAAAGAAGGATGGCCAATAGACACATGAAGAAATGTTCAACATCCCTAGCCATAAAAGAAATGCAAATCAAAACAACATTGAGATATCACCTCACTCCAGTTAGAACGGCAAAAATCAAGAACTCTAACAACAACAGATGCTGGAGGGGATGTGGACAGAAAGGAACCTTAATTCATTGTTGGTGGGAATGTAAACTTGTTCAACCACTTTGGAAAGCAGTATGGAGGTTCCTCAAAAGACTCCACATAGAGCTCCCCTATGACCCAGCAATCCCACTTTTGGGCATTTACCCTAATGTTTACAAACAAGACCACACTAAAGCTACCAGCACAACTATGTTTATTGCAGCATTATTTACCATAGCTAAGATATGGAACCAACCCAGATGCCCCTCAGTAGATGAATGGATCAAGAAAATGTGGTATATATACACAATGGAATTCTATGCCTCCATCAGAAAGAATGACATTGCCCCATTTGTTAGGAAATGGAAAAACTTGGAAAAAATTATATTAAGTGAAGTAAGCCAGGCCCAAAGAAACGTAGGTCCCATGGTTTCCCTTATTTGTAATATCTAGTGTATGTATGAGTCAAGCGGAAAAGGTCAGATAATGTGATGTCAGGAAAATGAACCCTTAGATGTGTATTTTAATGTTTTTTTCTTTCATGCATGTGTTTCTAACACATTTATAAGATTACCTCTTTGTTGCTTTGTATGTCCCTCCCCCACAGTATAACCCTTGCTTTCACTATATTTGATGTCAGTATAACTTGTGGAGGAGATGGGGAAAAACCAGTTGTTTAAGGATACAGGTGGACCTGTTGCAACAATGAGAAGTACAAGTTGTCATGTCCAAAACGAACTTTACAATGTTGGTGGGGGGGGGGGGGGGGGGCTGGGGGGAGGGAGGAAGGAGAAGGATTGGGATTAGGGGGGGAGGGGGGAGGCTGGGAAGGGATGTGAAGGATAAACAAAGGAGGAGGCTGCAATGCTTGGTAAGAAATGTACACATTATCCTGCCCATGTAACTGTAACTCCTCTGTACAGTATGTTCACAAATAAAATAAAATTAAATTAAAAAAAAAAAAAAAAAAAGAATAATTGTGAGATAATAGACCTGTCAAGTACTTTGATGGCAGTAAATATTTCAAAATGAAAACATAGATAAAATTCTGTTGTACAATTTGAAAGTGTGTCATTTTTATTAGTCATACTTCAATAAAGCTGGGGCAGGAGATTAAACAAATAACCTGAACAGCCCAATAATGGTTAATGCAGCACCATCCCAAAAGCTGGGCTCCAGGTAGACTCAAAGAAGGGCAAGAGTAGAGCTGACTAATACAGGCATTCTCCATTCTCGTTCATTTTCTCACTCTCATTATGTCTCTCTCTCCCTCTTTCCCTTTTCTTCTTATCCTTCTCTCTCTCTTTCTCCTTCTCCCTCTCTCCCCCTTTCTCTCCCCTTTCCTCTCCCCTCTATTTCTTTTTCTCCTTCCTTCCCTCCCTCCCTCCCTCCCCCCCCCCTCTCTCCCTCCCCCCCTTATTCATCATCAGGAACTTCTGAAACCACAAACCAATATAAATCTGTCCTGTTTCAAGTTGTTTTTCACTGGTGTTTGTCTCAGAACAGAAAGTCTTACTACCACAAATCTTATATCCATCAAATCAAATGACTTGGTACTTAACACCCTACTCCCAGAAACAAAAACAACTCCAGGCCCAGATGGCTCACTGGTAAATTCTACTAAACATTTAAGGAAAAAAATAATACCAATTTTACTTCAACTCCTATAGAAAATCGAAGAGGAAAAAATACTCCCCAGCTCATTCTATGAACCCAGAATTACCTAGAGAATAAAACTTAGAAAATGCAAGGACAGAAAACTACAAGTCAATATCCATCATAATGCTGCTAAAATCCATTAAATTTCAGCAAATATAATTCAATAATACATTAAAAGGATAATGTGATCTGACCAAATGCAATTATCTCAAGAATTCAAGATTATTTTAAAATTCAAAAACAAAATCAATGATGTAATTCATCATATCAGGTCTTTTTAACAATATGATTTCAACAGTTAACAGAAAAAGTAACTGACAAAATACAATATCCACTGCCAAGAAAAAAAAAAAAAACAGAAAAATAGGAATAGAATGAAACTTCTAAATCTAATAAAGGGCTTCTACAAAAAGAAATACAGGTAACATTCAATGATCAAAAAATAAATGGCAGTCCCTAGGATCAGGATCAAAGTAAAATCTGGTTTATCACCATCCATCCAATATGTGTAGAACTGAGACAGGAAGATTACAAGTTCCAAGACAGTAAGACCCCCATCTCAAAGGTAAAATAAATTCTCACCAGGTAACTGATGGCTTACACCTCACTACTCAGAAGACAGATCTAAGGATCACAGTTCAAAGCCAGCCTAGGTAGGAAAGACTTATCGCCCACTAACCACCAAACAGCTAAAAATGGAACTGTGGCTCAAATGTTCATGTCATAACCAAAAAATACCTTAAATCATGGATTTAAGATTAAACTAAAAACAATAAAACAACTTTAGCAAAGAGAAAAGCACGATCCATTAAAAAAACTGATTAAAAAATTGCTTTTCAAAAAATTAAACCTCATCAAATAAAACCTCATCAAATTCAGAACTCTGCCTTTTCTTGAGGGAGGGGGACTTGAATTTGGGGATCCACACTTGCTAAGCAAGCACAGTTCTACTAGGATCATTCTCCCAACCCATTATTAGTTTTAATTATATTATTATAGAAAGTTAACACCAAGAATGCATCAAAATGGGAAAAAATAATTGAACATTACATAATAAAGAACTTAAGATAACCACACTAAAGGACCTATCCAATGTTAATAAAAAGAAAATGCCCATGGTATTATTTGATAGCTCTTCATCTAGATTGTGATGGTGATTCCAAGTGATCTTGCGCTCTAACAAAACTTCTCAAGTTAGACATTAAACACATAGATAAGATATTCCTCAATAAAGCTGCTACAAAGTACCCAGTTGAAAATATCCTCTCTCTTTCTTGATTGCTTCTTTATCCTCTCTTCACTTAGTAATCCATCCCTAACCATCCTCATTGCCATAATTGTCACCCTAACCAATATCTCACTGGCATGACTACTATACTCTCTAGCCTTCCCTACTCTATCCTCCACCATGCAGCCAGAACTAACTTTCTAACATAAATACCCAGTGCATCACTGACTGCCTTAGAGATTGATTTCAAACTCCCTCAAGAAGATTCACTAGACCTTCAAATCTGGCACTTTCACTTTTCTTTGTCTCCTATCTGAGGATGTCTCACCTCACCCTGTCCTGCCCAGGCTTACAGATCAAGTATATTGCATTACTAAATGAAAGCTTGAAAGCAGAGATAAAGACTCTTACCATCTTTACTTCCCCAGGGAATACCACAGTGTTGAGCCCAGAGTGTGTGCCATGAGTGAATAAATAAATGAAGAGTTGAGTTGGAGGACCTCTTCAATACCACTGGGTTTGATTCTAGGTCCTTCTATTACAAAAAGACAGACAGGTGGGAAGTTAAGTGCCCTCTGTAGTACAATCTAGTAAAATAATCATTTCAAATCCCTTGGAGAAGTGAAGTGGGGCCAGGGGGAGCTAAAATCTACCTGTGGGTTTAAGAGCAGGACATATTACCTTAAATTATTTTAAAAGCAGATGGTAATTGACTGTGATTTGAACTAAGTAAAAGGTTAGGGAAAGGGAACCTTATTCGGGAAAAAAACAGAAGGCCCACGACAAAAATTAACAGGCTGGAAGAAGGCCAGTTTTCCCAGTAAGTTTCTCAACTTTAGCTAGAAAAGCTCTCAATATTCTACTCTCTGGGTTATTCTCATCTCCCAAAGTTTTGACTTCCAAATCCAGCCAGGGAGTCTTCCTTCCTCTCATAATCAGTCTCCAAGCTCTTCTCACCCTCTCTGTTAAATCCCTCAAATCATCTTGAAGAAGAGGCATCTGGGCCGCCCACTATGTGGTCCCCCTCAGCTGGCCCCTGCTAGAGCCAGGCCAGTAGCCATCAGGTCAGGGGCCAAGCATGAGGACCTCATTAGCACAAGACTCCCAGAAGACAGAGCAGCAGTCATCTGGCTGGAAGACTCAGCAAAACATGGGGGGGGGGGGGGGGGGGGGGAGGGGGGAGGGGGAATCAGGACATACACTTGGTGCATCATAGACAGGAAAAGGGAGAAGAGTAAGCAAAAGTCAAGGAAAAAAATCTAGCCACGAACTGAGAGGTCCCTTCTTATTGACTGGCCATTCAAAAGCACAATGGCATGGAGCCTTCAGAACTGACATCTGAAACGCATTCTCTCATAGCTTGGTCTTATCTGAGTCTTTCACTTAGGGATGAAAGTAAGTGTTAAGACATACTAGGTGATTTTAGTGGAAAAGAGCTCATGGTTAGGAAAATTCACCAGGCTGCATCCTGTGGACTCTCAACCAGGACGGGAAGGAGGGGCATCCATAAAAATGGAAACCTTTCCTATCTAGGAGATCTGAGCCCAAGGATGATCCCATCCACACCAACTTGCGCCTCAAACACGATCACAAGCTGCTGCAAGGCTCTCCAGGCACAAGTAGCATGGGTCTTGTACAGAAGGCCTGAGCAGCCAGACTTGAGTGAAAAGTCTCCAGAAATGCCTGGGTTGGAGGAAAGAGAGCAACTGAGTCAACAGGCCGGCAGTGGGAAAGACGGACGCTGCTTCCAGACAGCTCCAGGCCAGCCCTTCCCCGGAGGGCAGCCGCCTCCCCCAGGGGCGGGCAGGAGCGACTCCGGGGAACCGAGGCCTGGCGGGAGTGAGACTCAAGAGATGGGAGTGGAGAGCGCGAAGAGGCAAGCACAGGCCCACGGGCTGGCGGGCTACGGAACCTTCTCCTGGCCTTGCAAGCGGAGGCCCCGGGTGCCCACGTGCGACTGGGGGGAGAGTCACTTACTTGTCCAATCGGAAATTACATTCTAGCTAGCGGGGCCTGCCGGCGGCGGCGCCGAGAACCCCTGCTCCCCCGCAGGGCGGTCCCGCGCAGCCCGTGGCCCCGCCCCACGCCGGCCACGCCCCCGTGGGGGCCGAGGCCGCTGTAAGGCGCTTCCCGATTCGCCCTTTAAACCGGATTCACGATTGGCCAGCGCCGGTCAGCCCCGCCTGCTCCCATCCCAAAGCCCAATGGGGCGTGGACCACCCACTTCCTGGCTCCTCCCTCCCCGCCCTGGCGGGGTGGAGGCGTGGCTTTGTCCGCCTCGGCTGGGGCTGTCCCCCTCCCTCTGGGGTTCATCTCCCGCGGGATTCCCGGGAGCAGCTCCGCAGCCCACGACGGTCTCAAGTGTGCTTCCTGTAACCCCGCTCCTCAGGCGCTCGCTGAGCTAGTCTCCATGAAATCCAAGCAATTCCTGAACACTTACTTGGTGCCAGGCCTTGTTCTCCCTGCCGAACAGGATTTCACTTTTCTAACCCTGTGGCTTACACACTCAGTGTGTAAGATCTCCAGGAGGGACGGGAGTTTTTACAGTGTGGTAGGGACCAGACACATCAACCTAATAATCCCCATGTCCCTAACTTTTCCAGTGAGCTACTTGTTCTTCTGCTTACTTATCCATGCAGGGAGTCCAGAACACTTAGCTTTTCCTAAGAAACCAGAGGACAAATTCCTCCTGTACTCCTATCTAAACTATTTCCATTTTAAAAAAAGGGGGGGAGGGTAGGAAGGTAGGTTTCTTGGCTAAAGGAACTTGAGATTTAGGAGTCTTGAGTGCAAAATCTTTGTTCTCCTACAAAGGAGGCTGAGGCTCAGGAAAAAGAACATCTTTCCCAGAACACACTAGATGTGGAAAGAGTCGTTGAAATTACTTCACTGAGGCACTCTTGTGTGCCAGATTGTCTGCTATCTATACAATAACTCCCAAAGTAAGCAGATGCTCTTTACTTGGACTCATATGTGAGGACCCTGGCTTAGTGAGGCTGACAGCACACAGTCCATGGTAAGTGTTACAGGCATGTTGAAAATCTGGGTCTGGATTTCCTTACATTTCCAACAGTTATCCAAAGAACTGGCTGAAGACTCAGATCTATTACTTAGCACCATGTGAATCAAGTGTACAAAAAGAAAAACAACATTAATTAAGCCCACCTCATCTTCCCAGAGCATTATAAAGAAAAAATGAAATAACAGATAATCAGATGATTTACAAAACATCAAATCTTCCTCTGTGGACCCCAGGAGTGGAATAAGTCAAATGTGTTGATTGTCTCATACGCTATGGCAGGAGGTCTTCACTTGGCTAGACTTGAATGAGTGTGAATTTGCTGTCTGGCCTTTATGGATGGTTCTCTCTCTAGGTCTTTAGGTATTCATCTTTAAAAAAGGTTTTCCTCTTATGGCCATACTATCCAATAGCAACAATAGAATAGTAGCTGGAACTTCACCAGCCATTCTGGATTACCAAAGGACCTCAGAAATTAAAGCCACAAATGGTAAAGCAATAAAGAATGGACAAATAAATCAAGAAAATATGCCATATATATGCAATGGAATTTTACTCATCTATAGAAAGAATGATATATCATTTGCAAAGAAATGGATGGACTTGGAAAAAATAAGAGTGAAATAAGTCAGGCCCAAAGAGACAAAGGACCCATGTTTTCTATCCTATGTGGAAGTTAGATATAATATACATATGTGTGTGGGGACTTGTATGCATATGTACATAAACGTATTAACCAAAGCATGGTTATAGACAAATTCTCAGGAATTTGTCTATTAAAAAATAAACTGTCTTCCCCAGGCCCCTTTTCCCTTTTCCACTTTCACCCTGGGATGACCAGCTTCTGTTGAATCCATACAGCAGAAAATGGACTAAATGCTTCAAGATAGTCACGAAGAGCAGATCAGGGAAGAATTCAAATGATGTTACTCCTTAGAACAACTAACTCACATCTAACAAAATAAATGCCAGGAAGTTGACACTTGAGATGGGAGTGGAGGGAAGAGGAGGAAGGTAGACAATAAACAGACAATGTGGGGGGAAATGAAACCAGGAAAATTGATTTGGGAGGAATGGGGGGGAACTATGAAAGGATAATATTGATCAAGATGACTTGTTCTCATAAACTGACGTGTTGAGTGGTAACCCCTCTGCATAACTACTTAAAAATAACAAAAAAAAGGTAAGACGCATTTCTAATACCACGCAATTACCAGATCAGATCATTTCCAAGTGCCCATTCTAGAGTTAAACAAGAAGAAAGGACTCTCTCTATGTAAGGCACTTTGAGTTTGTGTTTTCTGTCACATGGAACCTTACCTAATGAAAACACACTTAGATTCTTTACATCTTGGAACCCTTACAGCAACTGAATAAAGTGCTACCTGTAGAAATCAGCCTAGAAAGTATAACTTGTTACAACTCATCCAACCAAAAGTGGCCAAGCTGAGATTCCAACTTAGGCCTGTGGACAATTCTCATTCTCTTTTGCAATTATGATAATTTCCTATTATGAATGAATGAATCATCTCTCACTCCATTACATTAATTTATTTCAGAGGTTTGGAAATCACTTTTGCAAAGGACCAAACAGTTAATATTTTAAACTTTGTAGGCTATATAGTCCCTGTTGTGACCACTCAACTCTAGTTTGTATTGTATATGCAACCAAAGACAATAGCAAATGATTGGGTGTGAGTATGTTTCAGTGAAACTTCCTTAATAAAAGCAGGCAGTGGACTGATGAGGCCCACGTACCAGCCTGTGATTTGTTCAATTCTTATGCTCAATCATAAAAGCATATTGGAAGTGTTACAGAAGATGGGGGTTGTGACACTAAAGGCATGCTCACAACATGGCCCAACATAAAACTGAGTGACATACTGGTTTGGTTTGTGTTTTTTTTTTTTTTTTTTTGGTCGGTTGTGGGGCTGAACTATGATCCTGGGCGCTATCCCTCAGCTTTTCAGCTCAAGGCTAGTGCTCTACCACTTGAGCCACAGCGTCACTTCCGGCTTTTTTCTTTTTGTTTATGTGGTGCTGAGGAATTGAAACCAGGGTCTCGTGCATGCAAGGCAAACGCTCTACCACTAAGCCACCTTCCCAGCTCCGTGACATACTGGTTTAAAGAAAAACTCAAATACTGCAAGATCAGGCTGTGTGTTCATATCTGCCATTGTGATAGTTTGAATGTGTCCCCCAGAAAGCATGTGTTAAAAATGTGATTGTCAGTGTAATAGTGTTGAAAGCAGGGCCTAATGAGCAGTAACTAGACCGTGGGGACTCTGTCTGAAGAAATGGATTAATTCTGAAATCTCAGGAATTTGTCTATTAAAAAATAGACTATTTTCCCCAAGCTCCTTTTCCCTTTTCCACTTTCACCCTGGGATGACCAGTTTCTGTTGAAACCACACAGCAGAAAATGGACTAAATGTTTCAAGACAGTCACTGAGAGCAGATCAGTGTCCTGGATAACTCCTAGTGGTCTCTCTCCTCTTTCTCCTCTTTTCCTCTATTACTTTCTCATATATATATATATATATATATGTATATATATATATATATGGGAAAGAAAAATTATATTATATTATATTATATTATATGTTATATATAACATATATTTTTAATATCTCTCTAACTCCCTTTTTCTCATATGCATATATACATATATGTGTGTCTATGTATATATACATGCAAATATTGTCCATATTTCTCTGATGTCTATGACTACAGGGAGGCTAAGAAGAGAAGCTATATGTAATCATATTTTGAAAAGAAATGGATATTATCCACTCATATATACCCCTATCCCAGAATATAGCAGATACCTCGTGTATCCTCTTTTCCCCAACTCTACCTAAAGGATTACTGTGTTACATTAGTTATAAGACTTGATTATTAAAAAGTCTAGACACTGCTCAGGGTCATGGACAGGCAGGATAAGGATCCTGCAATGTCATTAAAAACTAAGCATTGCCAGTCACACCAATGAAGCAGCCTGTCAGAATTAAGCAAGACAGAAAAGAGCTGGGTTGTGAAACCCAAGAACCAGCTGGACTGGAAATTTATGCAATTTCCTTTCTGCTCAAAGATACTTCTTTGAAGCTCTGGAAGACAGAAGACTTTGTGCTCTGTCTAGAAACTTAGAGGGGCCCTGTGAATCTCTAGCACATTCTCGAAAGTGTTTACCTTTTATCAACACCCTGCCTCTCACCATAGAAAGAGAAAATTTCCCCTGAGTCCCAAAGTCATAGCAATAAACTAAATATCATACATTTGTTATTCATGTATGAATTCATATGTTAGGTTTTCATTCAGTTAACAAAGATTTATTGAATGCCTGCTCTCCAAGCACAAAAGAAATAATGCTGTAATGACCATATAGTTATTCTTTCAGGGCTGAACAGATAGTAAGCATTCAATATTGCTTTATCTTCTGCCCATTTCCATTTTCTTGGGAAAGCTTTAGAGGACAAGGGCTCTGCCTTCTATACTGTCATCTCAGCAACTGGTGCAGTATTTCTAAAATATCAGGCAGTTACCGGTATATAATTATGCTGGTGACACCCCTTACCTGCCAAATGGGTCTTCCATTACTATTCAGATTTGTTTTCTCCTTTCTTCCATAATTTACAGCCTCGACCCACTGGCAGGAACAGGCAGCAATGCATACATAATCTTCCTCTTCCAAATCCATATCATCACATCAGGAGAAAAATTACTGAACTAGTTCACTGGCACCCCAACTAATCATCAAAAAAAGGGAAAATCATTGAGAAAAAGCTCACCAAGACTCCCACCATAGCCACCACCACCTAAGCCACATTTATATAAAAAATCATCGGCTTGTTTAACTTCCATCTCCAAAAGGGGGGGTCATCAATGCATTTTCAAATGTCCAGGAAAATGTTCCAGCTTAATTTATTGCTTACTTATTTCTTTTACTTGCTCCCTGTCTGCCTGACCACTCAACAAATATTTACTGAGTACTGAGTACTGAGTACTTGCTAAGCACCGGCCTAGAGCCATACTAAAAA